TCGGGGGAGAAGGCAGGGGCTCCCCTGGCTCTGGAAGTCCATGTGGGGCACGTGGCAGCGAACGGCAGCGTCAGCCTCATGCCGGCACCCGCTCCGCTTGGCATCCTGGAAGCGGCACTCACCCAGGGAGCGCTCATGGCCGGTACACCGCACCTCACTCATGTGGATGGGTCCTAGGCCTGAAGCAGAGGAAGGGTCAGCGCTCCCCACTCTGTGCCTGTCCTGGAGCAGGGATGTCCCCCACCCTTCTTCTCCTGGTCTTGGGGTTCCCTACGGGCACGGGGCTTACCGTGGCAGGAGCAGCCAGGGGATCCCCATCCTAGTGCAGGCTGGAGCTGCCTGGACATCCCAGGATGCTCCAGCAGCACCCAGTAAACCAGGGGCTTTCCCCATCATGCCCCTCCAAGCCCAGTGATGCCCCAGGTCCCTGCCGCACCATGTGCCTCACCTTGGCCCATCTGTGCTCCCACCAGAGCCTGCTTTGCAGTCCCGTAGCCCAGCTGCCTGCACACCACGCTGGCTGCGGCCAGGTCCCACTGCTTGTCACACACGGTGCCCCACTGCCCGTGGCGCAGCACCTCCACCCGGCCCTCGCCAGCGTGGGTACCTGCTCGCAGCCGCACCTGGAGGCCCCGGGCACAGGGAGCAGCCGGCCAGGGGCCCCCGTGCCTGCACCTTGGGCACGGGTGCAAACAGGGTGGCTGGGTGCTGCCCGGCTCTGGGACCCTCCATCAGCAGGACAGGGCATGGGGGTGCTGGGGCTCACCTTTCCCGGGGAGGTCTTGGTCCTGCCCTTGCCCGTGCCCTTCTGGAAGGCAGGGCCGGGGAGGCAGCTGACGATGGCGTGCATGCCGCGGGGGCAAGCATGCTGGTGGGGGGCAGGCGGGGCCACCTGTGTGGGGCAGTGGGCCAGGTGGGGCTCCGCACCGTGGCACCGCACCCTGTGAACCCAGAAGCTGTTCTTCTGGCTGAAGGTCTTCAGGCTGCCAAGGGAGAGGAGCAGGGGCCAGCATCAGCTCGGGCACCAGAGACTCTCCTCCACCCAACGCCCGTGCTGGGTGCCCACCCAGGGTGCCCCTGCCTGCTCTGCCCAGGGCTGAGCCCTACCTGGAGTTGGGGTCCTTCAGCTTCATGTTCCAGAGCTTCCTGCGGGTGCACAGAGACAGGAGGTTGGGAGGGGGCCATGCCAACCCTGCAGGGCTTAGGCCCCCCCCCCCCATCATCCCTGCCCTCCCTACCACCCCATGGTACGAGCTGGAGCTGAGGGGGGGGGGCT